TGTTCACCTGCACATCTGCTAACGTGGTATACTGTATCCGTTGTTCCCAATGTGGCCTTCTCTACATCAGGAAAATCAAGCGGAGGCTTGGGGATCGCTTTGTAGAACACCTACGCTCAGCTCGTGACAAACGACTACACCTCCCAGTGGTTCAGGTCCAGACCTGAAACGTCAGCTTTCCTGCTCCTCTGATGCTGCTTGGCCTGCTATGTTCATCCAGCTCTACACCTTGTTATTTCAAAAACTAAAATGGATTTCAAGAAAACTTGGTAAGACAAGACAGCCCATGGATCAACTGATTAGTTTTCAGTACTGATGCAGATCTATGTCCTGAACTTCAGAAAGAATGATTAGTTAGGTTTGGAAGATGGGGTGAATTGACACTTAGTTTTGATTTGTTTGTTTTGGAATGTTGTTGATGACTTTAATGTGAGCCAAAGTTTTAGAGATGTCTGTTGGCTGTGGATTAGCCTGCAGCTGTCTCAGTGATATGGAGACACAATAGAAAGATGCATTTTTTTTCCAACTTCGTAGTTACAGAGCATCAACCCAAGTATAAAAAGATTCAAGAGCTAAGAAAACTGTTCATTCAATGGAGTATGACAGGTTGGCATTCTGAGTACTCTCTTCACCTGTTCTAATCAGTCTCACTCAGCCTCTTATTACCCACTTACTGCTTGTATGCTGGCAGAAAATTGGTGGATTACTTTTAATTGCATTCTATTGTCATTCTCTCAATATTTATTTTCTCTCCAAACATTTTGTTTTTGGCCCATTTCTTATTTGAAGAATTTACCTGGCATGTATCAAACACCTTTTTTTGTTTTGCTTCATTATATTTCCTCTTGTATGCCATCCAAGCATTCTGACTTTTGTTTTCCTGCCTTTCCCTCTTGTAGAAATGTACACAGCCTGTACCAGAAACATCTGTCCCTTTATAATCACCCTGTTGCTTATTACTCCTATTTCACTGTGTTTGTCACTGGGTCAGAGATTGGGAGTGTTCTACCCAACACCTTCGTGGGAGCACCAACAGCAAAAGTGTTGCAGTAGTTGAGGGTTTTGCCCACCACATTCACATGGAACTAGAGATGAACAATAAATAGTGTTTTAGTTGACTGCCTTTTGAAATCAGTGAGTATTATGTAGATGTAGAACTTTACCTCAGCATCACAGAAGGTTGAGTTTCTGATCAGGAAAACCCTTAAGGTTTAACAAAATAATTTCTTGTTTTTCAGTTAAAGAAGCCAACAATTCCTTAAAGAAATTCACTGCAGTCAAGAAAGTTTAATTTTCTTCAAATGTAATTATTACAGAAAAGTGAAACTATAGTACCATGTTATTTCAAAGTATAAGTTAAAGTTCTCATTAATTTACAAATCTGAAATGATTAGGATAGGTTTGTTACCTGTTTCTCCTCCTCTGCCCCTGTCCCTCCCCCAATGGAGTAAAAAGAATTTCACATTATACTACTGTCAGAGCTATGTACGAAGATAGGAGTATGGGCATTCACTTGTGAAACCTGGCAAGATCAAATGCTACATTCATCATTTACAGTCTGCAAACAAAGCTCAATGATAACTCAACATGTATGCCCACCCCCTTGCTTCAACACCATATGGCATTTTGAGTCAGTATCAATATCTGCTGGTATAGACAAAGTCTTACAGTCTTAGCTTACCTTAGCTGGAGCTTAGGTGTGGAATAACGCTATCCAGCGCTCACTCCTGGAAATTGTGAGCATGCAAGAATTGCCTAAACATAGGATGAGATATGGAACCAGGGCTTTGCCTACCCTCATGATCACATGGTTTGCAATCACTATTTTGAGGCAACTAGGGATGGATAATAAATGTAGCTTTGCTTGTATCATTCCTGGTGCATCCTACGGCATTGGTAACATCAGTAGAAGTATTTGCACAGATTGAAAATATCAATACATGTATTTTGTTAAAAGTTCTAATGTTTGCTTGTCTGTTGTTTTGAGAAGTTTATTTTGATGCAGGAACAAGCTGATTTGTTTGCGATCATTGTGTCCTATACAGCACTGGAAGGTATGCTCAACAAGACCATCACATCAGAAGGCTCACTATAATGCAGTTCTGCTTTGGAACCAAGTCAATAAATGATACTTTGGCTTCTAAGACAAATTTTGTCTGTAAGGTTTGCGTGAGAGGCTAATTCCCAGTGAACTAACAATGTTATCTACACCCTGGATCTGTGATGAAAGAACTGTTGATACATGCTGCCAGCCAGGTGCTGAACGTTCAGTCAGATGATAAAAATATGGAGGAAACATATACTTTAAGAAAAGTCAGATTAATTTCATGGTTGTAACAGATTATTAAAGTGCTGTGAACCCGTTTCAGTTGGCCCATGACCAGCCTTCATTTCTCCTGTAGGGAAAGCTCCAATATTTGCTTCAGCATAGCCTCCTCTTCTCTCTGTCTTTCCTCCTGTTCCTCAAGTTCTTTGGCAGAAAGCTCCATGGCAATTTGTAGTTGAGTGTTGTAAGTAGAGTACTCATTTGTGCTGCGAGAGCCATGGCAACCTATTGTAATGCCTTCATTGATTGCCCTAGAAAAGTCAAATCCACAGAAAAGGTGATAGGAAGACTTTAGGACAATTTCACAAAATAATTCAATTAAATCAGCATTTCTCTTTTTGGTTCATGTACTAACCACCTTGCAATGCCCCTGCATTAGAAAAGGACAGGGTCTGTTATCGAAACTGCTGACAAAGGTGGTACTGTTGCTGTCTGGCATACCAAGTTATACTATTAAAAAGACCTAAACACTAACTGATAGATACTGTCAACAGAGGGTGGAGCTGGAGGAACATAGCAGGTCAGGCAGCATCAGAAGAGTAGGAAAGTCACTTTCCTACTCCTCTGATGCTGCCTGATCTGCTGTGTTCCACCAGCTCCACACTGTTGTCTCTGACTCCAGCATCTGCAGGTCTTGCTAACTCTCAGATACTGTTTTCTATTACCTCCTAAACTAAGACCCAACCACCAAACATCAGGCTGTTTTTTTCAGATATATTACTAACCTCATCTAGAGATCTTCTCTCCATGACTTCCCACCTCTGTCCCCCGACCACATAGCTTGCTTTCCAAAATCCATGAACACAACTGTCCTGGTAGACATCACTTCAGTCTGTTCCTGCTCCACTGAACTTATTTGCAACCTTAACTATTTTTCTGCCCACCCACAGTTGGTAATTCTTCTAGGACTGTATTTGCTTCCCATTCACAATGGACATTTGATCTCTCTTCACCTATATTGCCCACCAGGATGGTGAGTGCTCTCCACTTCTTCCTGGAAAAGAGACCCAAACAATGCTGATCAACCACCACCCTCTTCCATCTGGTAGTGCCTGCTCTCTAATTAAGCAATTTATCATTTATTTGGAGGGCACACAAGTTAGAAGGTGCGGTTAGGGTAACCACATGGGCCTTTAGTTACGCTGGTCTTTTGGTGGGGTATGAGAAATAGCCATCTCACCCAGAGCTGGAAAAATAAATCAATGTTCCTTCTAATTTCCACCTTTCACTTCTTTTCCTTGACTTCTTTGTTTCTCCTTCTGAGGCTAGGCATTTCCATTCCAGTAAGAATTTTTTGTCTGTGTCAAATCTGCCTTGATGATGCTAGCTTCCACAAAGACTATTCTAACATTCTTTCCTCAACTGAAGAGTCCCCTCTGCCCACTCCACTGTGGATAACAGGGCAATCAATTGTGTCTCATCCATTCCTCACTACCTTCACCTCCTTCCTCTCCATTCCAGAACACCAGGATATGGTTTTCCAGGTCCTCACTTGCCATCCAACCAACCCCCACATTCAAATGATCATCCGTGGCTATTTCTGGCACCTACATTATGGTGACACCCATAAACATCTTTCCTTGCCCCTCCCCTATCAGCATTCTGAAGGACTATTATCTCTGGGATACTGTGGTGTTCTACTTGTATCATGCCCCAAAACCTCATCCCCTTCCCCTGCATTCACTGGAAGTGTAGCAGCTGCCCCTTTACCTTCTATCCACTCACTGACCAAGTTCCCACATTCTCCTTTCCAGCGATTTACTTATACCTCTTTTAATACATTCTACTGTATTGGCTGCTCAGTGTGGTCTGGACCACATTAGGGAGATCAAGCATGACCCTGAGTGGTCACTTGTCATTTCAATTCACCATCTTGCCCTTGTGCTCATATTTATCTCCTTGATCTGCTGAGTTCCAGTGAAACCCAATGCAAGCTGGAGGAACAGCATCCCATCTTCCAATTAGGCATGTTACACAGCCTTCTGAATTCATTGAATTCAACAACTTCAGAACATAAACTCTGGTACTTGAGGGAAAGGGGTGGAGGAATGAAGGACAATCTGTATATTGATCTCCACAGATGCTACCAGACCTACTGAGTTTCTCCACCAACTTCTATTTTTGATTCTGTATATTGCTCTAGTGTTTTAATGTTCAGCTCTGTCTGAAAGCTATCTTAATAAAGCAAAATAGAGCAGATACTGAAAATCTGAAATAAAAGCAGAAAGTTCTGGAGAACCTCAGCAGGTCAAGCAACATCTGTGGAGAGTTAGTGTTTCAAGTCCATTATGACACTTCTTCAGAAATTTGTTGTCAGACCTGCTGAGTTTCTCCAGCACTTCGATTTTAATATTAACCTTTTTCTTGCTATTAAGACCTATTTCAGACTAATGCTTTTGTACTATTGACCTTTGCTTTTTTGTGCCATGATAGGTTTGATTTTTTCATCCTTTTTTCCACCTACCTTGACTTTCTTGATACTCCACCATAGGTAAAGATAAACTATTTCCACTGGTTGAAGATTCTAGAACCAGAGGGCATAATCTAAGAATTAGGGCCAGGCCAATTCAGGGAAGATGTTAGAAAGCACTTCTATATGCAAAGAGTAGTGCAGGCTTGGAACTTTCTTCCTCAAAACAGTAATCAATTATAATTTAATTGTTAAATTTAAATTTGAGACACAAATTTTTATTAAGCAAGGGTATTAAGGGATATGGGCCCATGATCAGCATATGGAGTTAGGCCACATATCAGCCACGATCTTATTAAATGGTAGAGCAAGTTCAAGAGGCTGAATGGCCTACCCCTGTTTCTATGTCCTATGTTATAGGCACTGAAAAGTTTAACAGGTTGATCCTCAAATGTCTCCAAAGCGCAACTTTCTCACTTATTACTTAGCCTTCACTCACCTTCCCTGACATAAATATTTCCGTTTTATGACCTTCAACCCACATTTGTTGAAACATCTCCTTCTATGTAAATGAAGTAATTTAATATGAAGGGGATTATGAAGAACATCACTCTCAAAATTTACCAAACCTCTCAACTATTATATTGATTTTGTGTGCCGATCACCCAAATCAAGCTGCTACAGTTACGGACAGATCCACTCAAGTATTTTCAGGTTTGGGATGGAAAATGAGAAGGAAATGCGGAAGACAATTTCTGTTTCATTGTAAAAATAAATGATTCCCTACCTGGTTAACATAGCACTTTGACATAGTGAAATCACCAAGATGTGCTGAATGAGCATTACAACAGAAAATTTGAGACTGTAGATAATCAGAATGACACCTTCAAATAGCACCAAGGAAATCCTGTAAATCTGATTCCTTCCTTGCTCAAGAATAGAGAGAGAAAACACAGCTGTCTGTGATTAAAATAGTTAGTTCAAGAAATTAGAATCTGTTTTCTGGAACATTGATATACTTGGTCCAGGCCTTGTGGCAGATTTCACTCTCCCATCTCCGCCAATTTCTGATTTTTCTTCCGGTACATCTCCACAGGGAGGAAAGAAAAAGAGGAGGGAACCTTTCTGCTCTCTACAGATTTCAGTACCTACCAAGAGTGGAGAAGAGGGAAAATACATTTTCCTAAAAACAAAAATTCCAAAGGAACATTCCTTTACCTTTCATCATCTTGGTTCAAATTCTGCTCCAACTGTAAATTCTCGCTGGATGGCATCTCCCACACATCCTAAAACACAACAGCATAAAGTGCCAATTTGAACGGCTTCCAACTACATAAAGTTATTCACATTAATCTAGAGAAATTTGTCAGGATTTTAAGCATTGGAGAATAGAAGAAAACTTCTCTGTATGCTACAATTAGGTGCTGGGACTGCATCTTCCAGTTAAGGTAAAATGAAGGAACTGTGTCCCATTCTGAAGTCTGCCCCTGTGCAAACCTGGGTGGCTTGATTGAGAGAAGTTAAAGAGAGCCCACTGCTTTAGTAGTAAGAAGTTGGAAGGCGTTTACCTTTTGAAGACAAGGGAGTAGCCTCTGTAGTTACAGTGGGTAAAGTGCAGGTTGTTCATTGTGCAGGAATAGAGGTGAGCAGTCCTCCTCAGGTCGGAAAGACAAAATTGGTGGGAAGTTAAGATTCTTTAAAATATCCATAAAAACTCTCAAACAACCTTGGTCTTCCAGGGTTTGGGAGGAGGACAGCAACTATAGGCAGCAAATCTGCGATACAGAACTGTGGTGGGAGTTGGTGTAAGATTGTATTCATGAGGAGTTAGAACGAGGCTGGAAGGTTTGCCTAACTTGCATCGAGTGGAAAAAATCTCGGTGATAGACAGTTGTGAAGATAGTTATTCAGCAGTAGATAACCTGAGTAGAAGTGAGTTTTCAGTGATACTAAGAAAAATGGGAACGCTCTACTTGTGATTCAAAGTAGAAGTTGCCTACGGAAAAGTGTTTAGCCAGTAATGCTTAAAACCTTTACATTAACAAAAGGTTAAAGGCATAAAATCAGTGTCATCCTTCCAATTGTTAACTGAAAAGTTCAATTTTTTTTTGTAAAAATTATAGGTTTCTGCAAAGATCATAATGCATGTCTTTGGGACAATTTTGTATTGAAGGGTTAGCTTAAGACAGGAACCTATGGGTTAAAGCCAACACACCGGGCACAAATCAATACAGTATTTCAGATGATGTGTTAAACTGATCCTTATCAATTTCTTCACGTGGATTCCAATGATGTCTTGACGTACTGAGTTGAAGAGTGGGATGGTATTGCATGCATGGGCCAGCATTTTTCAATACCACTACAATAGTTTCTCTTAATTCAATCATTTGCCATTTACTGGACTTGGCTTTGGGTAATTTGGCTGTTGCATTTCTCCAAATGTGAACACATTTCAAAGACAGCACAGGAATTTTAAAGCTGTTCAGAAATCTTAAGGACTGAAAGGCAGCAAATGAAGTAGCAGACTTGGAATTTTCAAAAGTGATGCAAAACCTTTTAGAATAAGGGGTTTTAAACTGCTGAGTTTGATTTCACCTGCCATGTAAGTCAAACTAGTCTGAGCCACCATTTATAAAGTGCAGTGGAAGTCTGAAATTCCATGGGTTTTCAGGTCCAAGCAGTAAAGACATGTTATACCTGAACCATGTAATTGCTCAACTTCTTAGACATTGAAATAACATTAAGTTCGTTTTACCTGCTGTCAGGTGGCTGCATAATATTGCTATAGAATCCATCGGACTGGTTTATCACCTGTGTTAGTTTGCAAACCAGCTGTCCAGCAAACTGAGCTAAGTGATGAACCAGTTGAGGTTACCATGAAGAACACTCCTTCTCAACCTCTTCCCTTCCTTGAGGCATGGTTAAACCACTAGCAGTTGATCTCTCTAATGAGAGAGCAGCCCTATGGTCTGGTAAGACCAAGATGACTTTACATTTTTTTATGTCACTTGAATTAAAACACTTACTTCTGAGTGCACCTTCTTAGAATGTGCCCCTCAGTTTATTGTGCAGGAAAACGATTTTACTGTCCATAAGATGTGATTCACAGAGTCATACTCATTGTGCAGTGTATTGCAAGTAGCTTAATTAGCATTATAACTCTCACAGAACCAGGCAAAACTGTAGCTGAAGGGGTGCAAACAGTATGCTAAGAGCAGCACTATGATTTTGAAACCGCCACTGCCCCATTCTCACTGAATTGACTGGAGTTAAAATTATTCATCCTATTTATCTTAGATGAAATGCTTAAAATGCTAAAACTGGTGCACACTGACTCAGTTGGTACTCTTTTTGGGAGCCACGAGATCCCCCTCCCCTCCCCGTGCGATAAGTGAAATAAGTGGTCTTTACTGATCCACTTAATCAGTGAAATTTCAATGGAATGATAAAGCACTGCTCTGGGTCAGGTTTGATGCTTCAAGTTTACTCATTTCAAGCTTCATTTGGACTCATTTTTCTGCTTCTAAATATAAAAATAAAAATCCAGGTCGTCACTTCTGATTGTGCTCCAAGAAAGTTAAGGTAAATCACTGCATGGCCACTAGTCAAAGTCAAACCGCTGCATGGATCGCTGAGTTACAAAACCGACAGCTTCAAACACAAAGAGAGCTGATACTTGGGTGGCTGCTATTACTGATGCATGGAATCTACCCCACTTACAGTGACACTAACTAAATGTAGAAAAATCTAAACACCATCCAAGTTTGGGCTGACAAACAGCACATAACGTTTGCACAACACAAGTGACAGGCAATGACCATCCCTAACAACACAGAATCTGACCATCACCCCTTCACATTCAACAGCATTACCACACTGAATCCTCTACTACGAGCATCTTGTGTGTTACCATTGACTAGAAACTGAACCGGACAAACCATGTAAATATTATTATACTACCTGCCTACAACAGCAGGCCAGAGAATCCTGTAGCAAATAACTCCTCTCCTCACTCCACAAGCCAGGAGAATGACATAATACACCCCACTTGATTAAAGGGTGCAGCTCCAAGAATGCTCAAAAGTCTTGACCGGCATCACATCCACAATCATTCATTTCCTCCACCATCAATGCACAGTGGCAGCAGCGTGTACCATCTACAAGTTACTGCAGAAATTCACCTTCAACAACACCTTTGAAACTCACAACTACTGCCATCTAAAAGGACAGGGCAGCAGACACATGGACACAGCAGACACCTTTAATTTTCACTCCACGCCATTCACCATCCTCACTTGGAGTCATATTTGCCATTGTTTTATTGGGGCTAGGTCACAATCCTGGAACTCGATCACTAAAAGCATTGTGGGTGTACCTGCACTCAAATCAACTGCAGTGGTTCAAGACATCAGCTTACCACTTTCTCAGACGGCAACAAGGGATAAGCAATAACTGTTGGCCCAGCCAATGAAGCCCACATCCTAGGATTTAAGTATGAAAAAGTGCTAAGAAGAAAATAAGGGGGTGGGCTGGAATGAATTGAAGGAGAAAAGAAAGGCAGTATCTCATTACATGTCAAGGCATAATTTCCTTTTAAATGGAGAACTCACTTCACCACCAGAGTGACAATCCAGCAAACTCCGCTGAATTGCAAACTGGATCAACTGATCATTCTCATCCTCAACGTCAAGCCCCATATTCTTGCCCATTCCACGGATGTGGTAATTTTCTGGTATGGTGAAAACAGATGGATCCACTTTAAAATTAGAGCCTGAGAGAAAGAGTAAAAACAAGTACATATTAACTCCATTAGCTCACAGTGGCTCAGTAGTTAGCACTGCTGTCTCACAGCACCAGGGACCCAGGTTCAATTCCAACCTTGGGCGACTGTCTGTGTGGAGTTTGCACATTCTCTGTATCTGCGTGGGTTTCCTCCCTCAGTCCAAAGACATACAGGTTAGGTGGATTGGCCATGCTAAATTGTATATAGTGTCCAGGGATGTGTAGGCTAGGTGGATTAGCCATGGCCGTTATAGGATTAAGGTGGGATGCTTTTTGGAGGGTCAGTGTGGACTCGACAGGTCGAATGGCCTGTTTCCACACCATAGGGATTCTATGATATAAGCTGCAAATTGGCATGTTGATTACTGGACGTAACACTGCATAGGAACCTTTATAATTAAATATACTAGCAAGAACAGTGCTTCTTCAATAAGTTAAAAATCTCACTAATACAGGTAGGGTTGACCACATTGTTCAAGAACAGTGACAAGTGCTGCATAACTTTAAAATTAGTTCTATGAAACGGGAAATTATTGTCCCATTTACTAATAATGAACTGCTCTAGACAAGATACATTTCCTGGAGCTATTTTTTTAAAAACTTGCTGAGTAGAGTGGTTAAATTAGTTATATTTGTACAAAACTGACTTTTTCCCTACTTAATACTTTCACTAGTCTCAATTAATTTTAATTGAATTTGGTTCACTGCACCTGGTATAGAGCCAACTGAGCGTCTCGCACAGATAGGACATTGTAACTGATGTCTGAAAACATATGATCACATTGGTGCAGTAGTGGGTGGTCTTATTTGGCTACAACAGATTTGGGAATTAAACACAGTCAGTGTCTGCTAAATGGAACCTGTTCCACTCTACATTTATATGCTTGGAATGAGAGACTGGAGTGCTATAATTAACAGTGAACAACTTTCTCAATGTAATTATCCCAGGAAACAGTTAATTCAGTTTCAATGCAAATTTTTTGAAGAAATATAGAATTCTTAAGTCTTAATAGGCTTTCTTTCTTCCCAATTTACATTTTTGTTCTAACATTGCAGCAGGCTTACCTGAGTCAGTACAAATGCTTTTCATGACATCATCAACCCGCACAATGTTTGTGATCGTTAGTGGAAAGAAATATTTTAGTAAACAAACAAACAAACAAAAAAAAAGTCCCGATTGGGAATTTAAACAGTTATGTAGCATGGTGATATATACAATCTGCAAACCTCCATTAGATGTTGACATGACCAAGTTGCTCTGTGATCCTTTCTGTGCTTGTGGAGTCAGTGCCTTATCTGTGCTGCATACGTTCACGTTTCCAAAAGTAATTCGTGCATTCAGTACGTAGAAGAGTGGGATTTCTGGGACAGAAGATAAGATAATTTTGGAGAAACAATTTAAACATCAAAACTGCTGTGCCTACAGTCCTGAAGAGTCATATAGGACTCAGAACATTAACTCTGTTTCTCTCTACACAGATGCTGCCAAACCTGCTGAGTTTCTCCACCGTTCTCGGTTTCAAATTATCTTCCCAATGGATAACTAAAAAGTTCAGAACTGTTCAATTTCCCTTTACAAAGTGCATAGTTACTGATATTAACTCAAACTTTGCTAGCCGTGCAAACTATTCTAGAAGCATAGTGATTGACAGGAAAAATGAGTTAAAGACAACTGATATCTTAACTGAAGTGTGATCACTGTTGTAATATTGGAAATGTAGCAGCCGGTTTGCGCACATGGAGCCACAAATAACAGAAGTAAACAAGGCAGCTTTGTTTTCCGGTTAGTTGTGGAATAAAAGTTTAGCAGGGCATTGAAATAACTCCCCATTCATCACTGAACAATTCATTTGGATCCTATACATATAGCTGTCAGGGCTGATGGTATTACAATTAAAATCTTATCTGAAAGATGAAACCTCTGACAGTGGAGCACTCCCTAAATATTGCACTGAAGTGTCAATCTAGATTATGCACAAAGGTCTCCAAGTGAAGCTTGACAGCGTTACCTCCTGACTCACGAGGTGAGCATGCTACCATGAGGCAAGGCCAAAGGCCAGTTTACTTGCCTAGTTTCTATTTCTCCAATATTTTCTCCTCCTTTACCAAAGGCCCTTGATGAGGTAGAGATCTACATTTGCAGGGGCTTCCATTACCTCAATCAATGATTTATGAGCAATGACTTAGGTCAGATCATATACAGTCAGTACTTGAAGAGTATTTTACTGCAGAAGGCAATATTGATACTCACCCAATGTGAACACACAACATTCTAGTAGAAATTACTGGATAGCAAAGACAAAAAAAAAGTAGTAATTTGAATGTTACCTATTTTGACAGGAAATCCTGGTGGCAGCTGTAACGTGATGAAGTCTCTGAGTTTTGCAAAGTGTATGCTGCTCCTTGCCATCAGATCAATGATTGGAATAACCTGCTCCACGAAGGACAGTGGGTATTCCTCGCACAGCCACAGTGTTGCTTTAAATCTGCTTAGACCAATGAGATGTAAAATAGACTGATTAGGACAAAAAGCCCCAAATTTCATCCAAATTAACACGGGAAAATGTGTAAGAAGATTTTTCTGTGGTCAGGTGGCCAGCAGCAGAAATGGTTAAGAGCTATAATCAAGCATGCTGGGAATTTTGATCAAAGTAGTTTAAACTCTGACCTTGGTTGTGACCTATTCTGTAAGCTGTAATTGAAATAACTCCAGTAGCTGGTATGCTGTCGCCAAGTCACCCTTTATTTAGGCATGGAGAATACTTGACACTGATCCATCTGTTTTAGAGTGAATAGGATGTTTGACACTCCTGTTTTTATTCATCAGCCAGGCCTCCCTGATTGGACCAGATTAACAGCCCCAATCAGGGAACTCACTCTATGAGGTCCACCTGGCTGACCTCATTATAATCACTACAGTGATATGCAGTTTCCTGTGTTCACTAAATAAGGCAGTCAGCTAGACAGACTGGCACAGTACTACCATGTACAGCGCACGGAATGTGGCTGTTTAACACCAGAGAAACTCCATTGGTTGGGATCAAACAATATGATCTGGGTTTGGTCAATTCATTGGCTGAGTGCCACAGAAGTTTCTGGAAAGGAGCACATTTTTCAGATAAAAGTCAGCACAACAAAACATTTCTCAGGAGTAGCCTTTGAGACCAACATTTGAGAAGTACATGCCCTGAAGTTATCTTCAGAGAAGACAAAGAACGACTAGGCAAGATCTACATTGATAGCCAAGTTAGCCACTTCACACAAATTAGGATAGTGTTTGATTGAGCCAAACTTAGAGTAGGTTTACACGTGAATTAAGTTCAAGTAAGATAAAGTGGTTAAATGAAGTGAGTTCAAGTTGAAGTTAAGGTAGATAAAATAAGAAGTGAATGTCACAATGAACGCATGTTTTATACTAAGTATTAGTACCTAAAGAGTTAAAGAAGTACAGCTACATAATTCTTTGACGTTTGCGTCACATATAGACAAGATGGTTAAAAAGGCATTTGGCACACTTGCCTTCATTGCTCAGTCTTTTGAGGAGAAGTTGGGATGTTATGTTGAGGTGGTACAGGACATTGGTGAGGCCTCTTCTGGAATACCGTATCCAGTTCTGGTCACCCAGTTATAGGAATGATAACATCAGGCTGGAGGGGGTTCAGAAGAGATTCACCAGGATGTTGCCGGGTATCAAAGGTTTGAGTTATAAGGAGAGGCCGGTTAGGCTGGGACATTTTTCACTGGGGCATAGGAGGGTGAGAGGTAACCTGATAGAAATTTATAAAATATTGAGGGGTATAGATAGAGTTAATGGTAGTTGTCTTTTCCCTAGGATGGGGGATTTCAAAGACATGAAGCACATTTTAAGGTGACAGGAGAGAGATTTAAAAAAGACATGAGGCAAATTTTTTAGACAGAGGGTGGATCGTGTGTTGAATGAACTTCCTGATGAAGTGGTGGATGCAGGTGCAATTACAAGGTTTAAAAGACATTTGGATGGATACAGGAATAGGAAAAGTTTGGAAGGATATGGGCCAGGAGCAGGCAGGTGGGACTAGTTTAGTTTGGGATAATGTTCAGCATAGACTCATTGGACCGAAGGGTCTGTTTCCATGCTGAATGATTCTATGACTCGATAATTGAATTCTGAGTTAGATCTCTTTCTTTTATCTGTCACACAAGGGAAGAATTCCTGGGTAAAAGTTTTGAAAACTCCTTTCAGGTAATACTTCTCTGATCAAGATGCTTGCTGGAAGAGGGATCAATCTTTTCCACAGATACACACACTTTTACATGCATGGTGCAGCCTTGAACGGTGGAAAGTAGAGACTGATTTCTTTCCATCATGTGCTAACTAGGAATGTCGCCCAGTCTTCAGTGCCCTCCGTTTGCTGGAAGGATTTACAAGTTGATACTCAATTGGCTTAGTGCATTTGTGAACACACCTTCCATGGCCATCTAGTCCTGCAGTGGGACTTGAACACAGACCCTTCTGGTTACGATGCAGGGAAGCTATTACTGGGGTGCAAAGCTGCAATAAGTAGATTCACAGGAATGCAATTAGATAAAAAGCACTAAAACCAAACAAAAGAAAGCTAGTAGTAAGAGTAAATAAAAGGTAGATCTTCGAAAAGGAGAGGGTTGAGAGAAAAGCAAAGAAATTTAGGTTAAGACCAAATACCATTGCCTGAATTGCAAAAGGCACAGCCAACAATGCTGTAGAAAAAGGGAGTTACAGATGCATAGGATGTACAGAGAGATAGCAGAAGTCATGGAGAGTTGTAGGACTGAAAGAGGTTACAGATATCAGGGTAGATTTAGCAGACACAAGGATTTGGCTGAGCTTAAGTTTATGGAGAGTGGAAGGCAGGAAGTCAACCAGGAGAGCACTGGAATAGGTGAATCTGCAGCCAGCAAAACATAATCTACATGGTGAGTCCAGTTCAGTTTCTGGTCAATGGTGACCCCCAGATGTTGACAATGGGTGATTCAGTGATGACAATGCCATTGAATGTCAAGGGATGGCGTCTAGATGGTTTCTTAATGGAGATGGTTGTTGTCTGGCTTTTGTGTAGCATGAGTGTTACATGCCACTTTTCAACCCAGGTCTTGCTGCACTTGAACATGGACTGCTTCAATATCTAAACAGTGGTGAATGATGATGAACGTTGTGCAGTCACTGGCAAACATCCGACTTCTGATCTTATGGTGAAGGGAAGATTGATGAAGTAGCTAATGATGGCTGGGCCTAGTGCAGCAATTCACCAACACCTTGTCACGTGGAATAGAGAACAGCAACTAACACTGGCCTAGCCAATAATGCTCGTATTCCATGAATGAATAAATTTAAATTAAAAACTCTGATTTTCACCCTCATTACTTGCCTTCAGTTAGCAGCTTTCTCAAAATCTGATTAAAATAGAGGCAGGATAAGCTGGGACATTTTTCCACTGGAGCATAGGAAGTTGAGGGGTGCCCTCACAAGTTTATAAAATCATAAGGGGCATAGATAAGGTGAATAGCCAAGGCTTTTCCCTGGGGTGGGGCAGTTCAAAATGAGAGGGCATATTTTTAAGGTGAGGGGAGAAGAATTTAGAAGGAACCTGAGGGTGGTTCATACGTGGAACAAACTGCCAGAGGAAGTAGGGGATAGTTACGAGATTTTAAAAAAACCTCTGGACATGTACATGAATAGGAAAAGGTTTAGAGGGATATAGGCCAAATGTAGGTAAATGGACCCAGTTTAGTTTGTGAAATGTGGTCAGCATGGATGAATTGAACTGAAGAGTCTGTTTCTGTGCTGTATGACTCCACTGATTGCCCACCACTCTGCACCATCTTCTAATTACTCAACTTTTTTTACTCATTTGAGAGAGCTGGGCATCGTTGGCTGAGTCAGCATTTGTTGCCCATCCCTAGTTGCCCTCAAAGGTGCTGAGCTGCCTTCTTGAACTGCTGCAGTCTACCTGCTGTGGGTTGACCCACCATGCTATTAGGGAGGGAATTCCAGGATTTTGAACCAGCGACAGTGAAGGAACAGCAGTTTGGTGAGAGGCTTGAGGGGGAAACTTGAAGGTGGTAAATCTTTGGTGAATTTCTGCAGTGCATCTTGTAGATGGTACACACAGCTGCTACAGAGCGTCGGTGGTGGAGGGAGTGGATGCTTATGGATGTAGGGCCAAACAAGCGCACTGCTTTGTCCTGGATGGGTCAAGCTTCCTGAGTGATGTTGGAGCAGCATCCATCCAGCAAGGTGTGGAGTATTCCATCACAATCCTGACTTGTGCCTTGTAGATGATGGACAGGTTTTGGCAAGTCAGGAGGTGAGCTACTCACCACAGTACTCCTAGCCTCTGACCTGCTCTTGTAGCCGCTGTGTTTATTTGGTGAGTCCAATTGAGTTTCCAGTCAATGGTAACCCCCAGGATGTTGATCGTGAGGGATTCATTAATGGTAACAGCATTGAATGTCAAGGGGAAGTGGTTAGATTGTCTCTTATTGGTGATGGTCAAAGCCCATTTGTGTGGTGCGAATGTTACTTGCTACTTGTCAGCCCAAGTCTGGATATTGTCCAGATCTTGTTGCATTTGAACATGGACTGCTTCAGCATCTCAGGAGTTGCAAATGGTGCTGAACGTTGTGCAGTCATCCGAATATCCCCACTTCTAACCTTATGCTGGAGGATGGTCATTGATGAAGCAACTGAAGATATTTGGACCTTGGACACTACCCTGGGGAACTCCTGCAGAGATGTTCTTAAGCTGAGATGACTGACCTCCAACATCTACAACCATCTTGTGCTAGGGCTCCTTGATGCCACACTCAATCGAATACAGCCTTTATAAGCTCAAGGGCTGTCACTCTTACCTTACCTCTGGAATTCAGCTCTTTTGTCCATGTTTGCACCAAGGCTTTAATGAGGTCAGGAGCTGAGTGGCCCTGGCGGAAGTCAAACTGGGTGTCACTGAGCAGCTTGTTCATGAGCAAGTGTGAGGCTTAATAGCACTATTGATGACACCTTCCATCACTTTACTTAGTAATTGAGAGTAGACTGATGGGGCCGTAATTGGCTGGGTTGGATTTGTTCTGCTTTATATGTAGTGGATTTTCCACATTATTGGAATACATTTCCTCTATTAGTATTCTTGGGTTACTGTCAATGATCCTACTTGCGTGTTTTGACAGAAAGCTCCATAGGTCGACCAATATCTCTGTCTCCAAGGTCAAACTCTGGGTTGAAATATTCCTCTGGCGTGATGGATGTCACATTGTTCATAGTTGCAGTTTCTGTAATGAGGTGCTGCAAATATAAAGACAAGGCAGTAAAGTGAGATAATGTCTACACTAGCAAATTTTCAAACACATCAGCTTATACAAGAAGAGGTGTGTATGTATCTGTGCAAACCAGGAGATAACTACATCTGGACGCTTTCAGCTCAATTTTATGAATGGTCATACAATCAAACTAGCAAAATCTCCATTCAATTTTCACTACATACACTTGGGTATTTTGTGTGTTTGTGCTTTCAGGTGAAGTGGACAATGCACTCAATGTTAACGAGTTATGTTTATTAGAATTCTTAAAATCTATGACCTATCTGGGTTTCAAAACCACAATCCGTTGTCTAAAGACCAATTAGTATCTGTCCTCATTGAGATGGGGGTATAAAGACTAAATCAGTGGTATTTATTAAGATGGGGGTAGTTGCAGTGCAGTGCAGCACTCAGACCCAAGAAATTGGTGGGAAAAGAAAAGCAAACAGCAATTTTCAGGTGTCATGTTGGTTTCTAGTTATCTGGAATAGAGAAATGAAACACGAAAGGCTGCCTAGAAACTGGTCCCTCGAATTTACCCCATTCTGTGGGCTGATGTGCTCCTCCACTTTTCCCAGCAGAGATTCAAGCAGATTTTTATCATCTGTGAAATAAAATAAACAGTAAAGTTAGAAAAAAATTAGGCAGTGTTTTCAAGGATTTAAAATTGAAAGAAGGGAAGCTTCTCCATAAATAATTGATCTTATGAAATTGGAATCAAAGCAGATAAAAGGAGTAAGAACATTGCTCTATATTTAACTTGAGCTATTCAACTACAAATCTGTTGAAACATGATAGACAAGAACATGATTTAGAAATCAAAGAGTTCTCAATGCTCAACATGCAGCCAGAGCAAAAGGTTATTCTGAAAACACTGACATTTTATAAAGTACTGAATATTGAAGAACAGGCAGATATGAATGGGATTGATCAGCTAAAACAGGTATGAAATGGCCTGGTCATTTATTGCACTGAAGTGCTTATCTATATTCTTAAAAACAAAGTAAATTCATTTAAAAATTCAGTTATTCTGTTTGCTTAAAGTCTAGCATTTATATAGTACCTTCCACTATTTCAGGACATCCCAAAGTGGTGCACAGGTAACAAAGTACTTTTTGAAATGCAGTCACAGCTGTGGTGTAGGGACTGTGACAGCTAATTTCCAAAGAGCAAGTTCCCACAGGAACAAATGACCAAGTTAACTGTTTTAATTGTTGGTTGCAGGATAGGAATTGGCCAGGCCATTTTGAATAATGCTACAAGATCTTTTCAGTCCACCCAAGTTGTCAGACAGAGCCTCTGTGCCACTTCTCTCCCTAACATACAGCTCTCTTTGTCCTACACAGAAATGCCAGCCTAGTGTTCATATTCAAGTTGCTGAAGTGGATTGTGAATCTGTAGTACAACCTTTTGATTTAGAGGCAAAAAACTATTGATGAGCTAAGGCTGACAGTTAGTGGTACTCACTGTCGGTTTACTCTAAACCAGTAAAGTGTTGAAGATTTTGGCATGGTTAAGATGGGAGGAACACATTGTTTTTAGTCTTTGTACTCCACGGGTAACAATGAAATTTGATTATTTTACCATGTTACCGATTTAGCCAATCCTATGCTTTCTCTATATTTTTGTTTCCTTTATTGTTTCATGGGACGTGGGCGTACTGATAAAGCTAGGCATTTATTCCCCATCCCTAATTGCCCTTGAACTGTGTGTCTTGCTAGGCCATTTCAGAAGTCAGTTAAGATTCAGCCACATTATCGTATCTAGGTCAGACCATTCAAAAGATGGCTGATTTCCTTCCATAAAAGGACAATTTATGGCAATTTATAGTAGTTTCATGGTCAACGTTACTGCAACAAGTTTTCAATTATTAATTGAACAACGGCAATGGGGGGTAGTGGTAGTATCGCTGGACAATTATTCCAGAGACCCAGATAATGTTCTGGGGACCCGGGTTCAAATCCTGCCATGGCACACAGTGGAATTTGATTTCAATAAAAATTTGGAATAAAAAAAAACTGGCCCAATGAGGCCAGCCATGTGGCAAATTAATGCTCTCCATTTTCAGAGCCACACAATACAGAGTTGTGTAAAGTTGTAACTGTAGGTACAATAATGGGTATCATTGTGTATCCCACTCTTAATCAAGGAAGAATCAAACATATTACTGCTAGACAGTCACATGTCAGACAGACCACAACTATATTTATCAGAATGTAGTTCAGTTGTTTGGCTTCTAGTGACATAGAAGCCAAATAACCACTTGCTCAGTGAAACAAGGGAAGTAGCAAGTTGTTTTGTTACCTTCACTATTCCTGTTCTCTCTGGGCGTTTCTAAATGATGATGCATTTAGATTGGTGGGATTGCTCAGTGAAACACTGAAAATAGGGGTCAACTTTCAGAAGGGCAATAATTTGACAGCTCTCTACAATTTCTGAAGGAATTTAATATCTTAAAAGATACTTGCTGAAGGGCTTCATTTTTCTTAGCTGGTGTTTGGAGTTTTTAAAAGCAAGACAGTTGAGGTGAGTGAATGACAGACTACACCGCATAGATGTCAATGAGGGTTAAAATGTGCAATTTTGGCAAGCTGGGGCAGTGCACCAACATACAAGTCTGTTCAGTCCTCAACGTAATAGATCTGGAATGAATGATAGAAAGGAATAGGGTGCTTTAGCATAAAAAATGGAGATTACTGCAGGTTGGTTATAAGTCAAATGTCCGGATGCTGTGTTTGCAAATGGCAGGTGTAAGCAAAGCAAAAATCAAGGCACAGCAGCTAACAGAGATTTACATGTTCTTTTCTTTTCCCAAACATGTTAAAATATTAATACAGTCATAAAGATCTACAGCATGGAAAAAGTCCCTTTGGCCCATCATGTTCATGCCAGTTAAAAACAACCACCTAACTATTCTAATTCCATTTTGCAGCATTTGGCCAATAGCCTTGTATGTTTTGGCATCATAAGTGCACATCTAAATATTTCTTAAATGTTATGAAGGTTTCTGCCTCTGCCACCCTTACAGGCAATAAGTTCCAGATTCCCACTACCCTCTGGGTGAAAAACAGAAACAGTACAATTCAGTTAATACTGTCACCACCATGAGAGTTTACATAGTAGCCTTCCTTTACAGAACAGTTACACATTTACAGAACACTTCTGAAGCTGTTTTCTTGCCTTTGGTAGCACATGTATCAGTCTTGATGGTATAGTTTAAAACCTTAAATTTATTTTCAAAAAATTGTGCATTTTGTTTAATAAAGTACTACACATATTTTGTACCAGGTGGCAAATATGGTTAGCATTGAAATTATATTGGAATGCACTAGCATACAACATGGTCCTATTTTCTATCAAATATATTAAGCCTCATGAACCAAAAGAATATCAGCTGTGGTGTACAATGAAGCACAGTTAAAACATGAATAGATTTTTTTTTAAGAAATCGTGTGAATTGTAATGCTGAAGCTACATCCTGGGATTTGTGTTCCATCTATATGTGAGGAGAAAATTACGTTTATCCAAATTCAAAGATCATCAACAGTATTTTTTCATGGGATTGGGGAGGGCATATAAAGAAAAATATTCACTTGCAAGTTAAATATGCTCAAAGTGGCAGGCTGGACCAACTGATCTTTCTCAAATATCAGATATCACATTTCTACATTGGTTTATTTCTATACCTTTATATTTGGTCTTCTCATCATCAGTCAGGTGTTCTGTTCGGCTTCTGGTTACCACATCAACATTGTTCACAGTGAAAACCTAGAAAAATAAATTCAGAAACACTCATGAATCTAAGCATTCATTTCACCCCTTACTTTTCTCCTTTACTTCCTGGAAATGGAAATTCACAATGTGAAAACCTTTTAGTATTTCATTGAAAGTACAAGACTAACTAGTGACTAATAACAGACCCAACACAAAAGCTCACTACTGCAAATGCTGGAAATCTGAAATAAAAACAGAAAATGCTTTCAGCACTCAGCAAATCAGCATCTGTGCAGAGAGAAACAAATGTAACTTTTCAGGCTATGACCTTTTAGCAAAACTACTAACAGTCCATTCACTTGTGGAGCACATTCCTGTAGGTGGACCTGCTAACATGTTTATCTAACCCCACTCAGTGCAGTACAGAGTTTGAGGTCCAAATCCTCTACCACCACCAACTCCCCACCCTGTTCTCTTCCCCACACAAAAATATGTAGCTAGAAGTTATGGATGTTTATCTGGATGTTGATTATCTATTTTCATTTTCCTCTTTCTTCTGGTGTCCTAGAACATGACCTATACCTCTATCACGAACTGATTATTCCTTAAGTGAAAGGAGATGATCATGAGAAGCCCAGGATGCCTCCCTCAAGAGTTTTCATCCTAGTGGACTGAAATACAAGGAAGAAAACCAGGAAACATATTTTGCTGTACCTTGGCCTCATATGCTTGAACAACATCAGTCTTCTCTGTCCGCCAGCCCCAGAATCCACATTTGTTCCTATAGGACAAGAAGAGTTAAGCACATAATATTTTTCACCTTCTAAATACCACATCTCTTCCTCCCGTTCATCTTTGGCAAGTACAATTGTCAGACAAACTCACCTGGCTTTTGGTTACTGAAGCAACTTGATCACCAGTCATTTATTAAAAAAATAGTATTTGCAAGATCCTCAAAGAATGACTGTTACCGTCATTGTCCATATGACGCATACACCGCGTAATATCTGGGTTGGGACTCTTAAATTTCTTCTTTTAACTTCATGTTCTTACCTCGTCCACAAAGGGTAAAAGGATAACATTAAATACTGACTCCAAAACAGCACACTCACTAATCCCAAGCTCCAAAGATATCATTAATCCCAAGTCCAAAGATACAGCACCACCAGCTTTTACTCCTTCAGCTACTTCAGCTTGGTCAACCTCAGAACTCAACAGCTGTAAAAATAGATCACATAGCTGATAAATATCAGCAAAGCTACTTTAAAGTTGTGTTGAGCCAGACACATATCCACAGGTACGTTAGTTTATCATGTTGCAGTCTATTCACACTTATCTGATTTTAAAAAAAAATTGGAAACCGTTGACGATGATGAGCAAAAGTTGCAACTTTTAAGGAACTTTTCATACTCCATCTCCAAATGACAAGTTCAAAGATGTCACCCTTTTCAAATAAACTATCATTAAGGAATGTTTCTTGTTTAGTTTCAGTTTCAAATGAAATGAAAACCACTTGTGACCATTCCACTTTCCAATCCTCCATGTAGTCAGAATTGAAGCAGATTGGAAGCTTTTTTTAAAAAAATGACAAGACAACTGCAATTTCTCAAAAACAAACCAACTATGTTTTAGCTAAGGTTGATGCTGTTCAGTCTTTTTTAAAATTGTGTTCCTACCCCATCCAAAAAAGCTTTACAAACAAGGACATTGCTTCAACATCTAAAAGAATGATTATTCTTCACAAAATGAAGACTGCATGTGATTTTTAAAAACTGAGTTTTTCTGTGTAGTCAATTTTCCACAGCCTAGCCTATCTTAATTAATTTAGCATTTGTGTGACACCAATCAGATGCTTGTTTAACATCACAGATCACAATTCTGTGGGCTTTGAGAGTGAATGAGACTGAAGGTGAATAAGAAAGTGATATGAAGAGCAGGAAATGGGAGAAGGTACAAGGGCAAATGAATGAGAACAAATGAACCAAACAAATGAAATTGTGCGAGAGAGCGAGCGAGCGAGAGCAATAATTCAGTAAATACATCTGTTGATCTCTATGGACACAGCCTGCAGAACCTTCACAACCCAGAAAGCACATCTAATTCAAATCTCATGACTCAATGTGAAAAAGTTCAAATATTCCAATTTGCTACCATATAGGACACAATAGCAGTTAGGCCATTTGGCCCATTGAATCTGCTCTGCCATTCAATCATGGCTGATATATCTCAATCACATTCTCCTGCATTGTACCAGTAACCCCTGAACCCTTATGAATCAAGAACTTATCTCTGTTTTAAATACACTCATCAACTTGGCCTCCACAGCCTTCTGTAGGAATGGGTTACACAGATTAACCACCCTAATCTCTAAAGGGTCACTCCTTCACTGAGGCAGTGGGTTTGTCCTAGTCTCTCCTACTTGTGGAAACATCTCATCCACATCCACTCTATCCTGGCCTCTCAGTATTCTGTACGTTTCAATGAGATCTCCCCCAACCCCATCCTTCTAAACTCAATGAAGTACAGACCAAGAGTCCTCAACTGCTCCTGATATGACAAGCCATTCATTCTCAGCAGAGATAGTAGGAACTGCCGACGCGGGAGAATCTGAGATAACAAGGTGTAGAGCTGGATGAACACAGCAGGCCAAGCAGCATCAGAGGAGCAGGAAAGCTGACGTTTCGGGTCGAGACCCTTCTTCAGAAAATTTCTGTGTTCATCCAGCTCTACACCCTTTTTATTCATTCTCAGCATCATTCTTTAAATTTATTTAAAAAGACTGATAATTCATTCATCTGCCCTAAAAATCTCAATTCCAAAGAATCAATTTATGAAGAAATTACCTCGCTACAAAAGGTTCATGCAATCTTATTGAAACATGGAATATAATAATACAGAAATCTTCATCTTGTCTTTTCAATCAAATAGAGACATTCAAGGGAGTGTATTTCCTTAAAACACGGAGGGACAGAGATGAAGGAAATGTCTTAAGCAACTGTATTCATGACAATGTTATGAAATTCAGAAGATGGCACTATTTGTTATTACACACATGCCAAAATGTGACAACTCTCTGCATTTATTGCACTTCAATGTGTCAAATGTATTTAAGGAAAACAGCAGTCTCTTCATGCTGCTTTCAATTGAGGTAGAATTAAAAATTTAGAAGCAACTCTGTTTCTGCAAGTTTCTCCCACCAAAAGAAAATTTAATTCTTTATCGATCTCTGAATTTCCTCTGCCAAGATTTAGGTAACACTTGTAATGCCACATTTATTCCTAGTGGCAATTAAGGCTTTTTCCCTTTTGGGCCAGAAAACCTACTTTAACCATTGGTCACCCCCAAAAACACAATAGACTGTCCATTACATTAGAGGATCATAACTGGGAGTCTGAGAGGTTTTCACTATATTCACACCAAATCATTATCATTCAAGAATAAATTATTTCCATTCTGCACGTAAGCTTGCCAAAAGTGAAGTAAAACTGATCACTACCAAATGTAAGTGTTATACAATTCATTACTAAGAATACGAACCTCAAAAATAACCCCTTTTTCTAAAAAAAAAATTGGTGGTTCCTAGCAGCTGTTTACAGGACCAAGCATGACATGGGTGGCTGATTAAACTTCCTCTGCTGTTGGAAGCTTGCAGTTTCTAGTCAGGGTCCTGCAGTATCACAAATACCAAGTGTGTACAGCATGAATGTTGACCTTAATTGCATTGAAAAAAGTGAGCCTGGAGCTTAAATGCACATCACACATGGCGATTCATCTGACTTTCAATCATGTCAGCTTGCTGACTATGATTTACTGCCTGGTTTTACAACGTGACTGAAGCCGTTATTGAAAAAAAAAATGCTCAATTGTCAAAACAATGACAAAAGACAAATGAAATTGGCTACCGATCACAAAATGCAAGATCAGCTCATTTGTTGTCAATCACATTAGGTATTATTCAGTATTTCTCAGAACAGAGATTCACAGGTAGGGTATAAAGCATTCACAAAAACCACAGTTCACACAGGTGGGTGACCACCCCTGACATATTTACACTTAATTGTCACCAAAATCTCAAAAGTGTGGCACTCCTTGACTCAGTCAGTTTTTGCCTCTCCTATATGTCATACCCTACATTTATGGCCCACTAATTACTTCTCAGTTTGTCTCATTCTTGCTCCTATTTTGTCAGTCTTGGAAATGGCTTGGATATGGCTGAAATCTAATAGTTTTACATCAATTATTATAATTGTGCATTAAGTCCTGAGGGAGGGTAAAGGCTGTTTTATCATCTATAGCAAATCATCTGCATTACATGGTCTTTTGTAGTTCAGCGATCTTCCAAAAAAAAACACATCAGACCCACCAGATTCCTCCTGACTTTAATATTTGCTTGTCACACTGTACACTGAACCTCAAAGAGCTAGTATTGTTAGCATTACCTCTCAAAGGATATATTTTTTGTGTCAAGGCACGTAGAAACGATAGGGGATGTAAGGCGATTTGCAATCTGGTCCTTTGTTGGTCTTATGGAGGATAAAGCGAGGCCTTGTTGCTCTTCTGAAAGTGTAAAATGTTCTCGGTCTACAACTTGGTTATCGTGGTCTATCTCTATAAATTCTGCTGAGTCAGCTGTCATCAGAAAGAAAAATCATGGAAATGAGGAACTTAACAAAACACTATTATAAATTAAAAACGATTTATATTATGTTATGTGATGAAAAATATTTAGTTGTTTAATAACTTATGGGTTGAGTTCAAATATTTTTGCTAAGAACTTTACTCACTTGTCATTAATTCACATTGAGAATACAGGTTCATAAGGGCTAACCTCCTGTACAAAAGGTCATTTTTATCACATGAATTCAAATATTGGGAATTTGGACATTTTAGTAATGAGAGTCACTTTGGGTAAACTTGAACTGGCCTCGTCCAAGGTGGGTATATACATGTTTTCCAGCTGGCATATGGGTATAGCAATCAGAGAGGAGGTCCTCTGATTGTTCCCCTTTCCCCACTCCTAGCCTTTCAGCTCTGAGGAGAGAAGCCAACCATAACATGACTAGTGCCACTCCAGCTAATGCCAGGATGGAATCAGAGACCTATCACCGGAGTTGTAGAAGGCAATGTAGGAGCAGGAGTAGGCCACGTCGGTCCTTCGAGCCTGCTTTGCCATTCAACATGACCATGGCCGATCATCCAACTCAGTATCCTGTTCCATTTTCTCCCTAAATCCTTTGACCCCTTTAGCACAAAGTCTATATCAATCTCCTTGAAAACATTCAATGTTTTGCCCTCAACCACACTCTGTGGCAGCGAAGACCCCAGGTTCTGGGGTCATCAAAACATCCTTCGTGCGTTCACAGATCTCGTCTAGTCAAAATATTATAGGTTTCTATGATATCCCCCTTATTCTTCTAGACTCCAGTGAAAAGAGACCTGCTCAATCCAATTCTCTTCATACGTCAATCTGCTAAATCTTCATTGCATTCCTTGTGTAGCTAAATCAGCCTTCCTCATTGGGCCCAATTGCCTTGCCTAGCCCGTATACATTGTCCAATAACTTTGATTGATCAATTGTTTGGTTTACAATGTGGTTGCAACTATTGTCTGGGGGGCAGGGGAGAAGGAGGTTTGTGGAAGAGAAAATAAATTTAAAAACTTCAGACCTACTCAAGTTTAAAAAAAACTATAATACTCACCCTTGCCCTGAAACATATAGGTGCGATGGCCCCTTTCCCACTTCATATTCTCAAAGTTCAGTAAGGTTGTATCCACTCGCAGATTGGCACCACTCTTCCACACACGGTACACATCACTTGGGCACATCTTTGACACCAGGGGAACTGGGAAAAGTGAGAAGAATGGAGGAAATATGTAGGGGTGAGAAGAAGATTTTAAAAAAATGTTTGCAAGATAAAAGTATTTTTTTCCTTGTACTTGTACTATAACATTTCATGGTACCTTAGCTACCATGAAATGTTACAGAAAATTTACATTTGATTTGGTGGCTATCTCCTTACATATAGTCACAATACACAAGTTTAAGTCAATTCTGTGACACTAGTTTAAATTGACAAATTTTAAAAGGCTTTGATGATCGTTTTCAAGGTTGGAAGCTTCAAAGTTGAAGCAATTCACATAACGTGTGATTGACAATGGCAGTGGCTTTTTGTTTAAATAGAGATGTTATTTAAATCCAAATAATCCTCACAATCATCTGAGGGTAATTATATTGACTCTTTCAAATCAGAAGGAATTCAAATGTGCTCAAGCCTGAAGGAGACTTGAAACCAATAGAGGTAAAATAAACACAATGCTGGAGAAACTCAGATGGTCTTGCGGCATCAGTGGACAGAGAAACAGAGTTCCTGTTCAGAACAGTTCTGAAGAATATTTATACCGGACTTGAAACAGTAACTCTGTTTCTCTGTCCATTGATGCCGCAAGACCATCCGAGTTTCTCCAGCATTCTCTGTTCGTTTCAGAATGCCAGCATCTGCAGTATTTTGCCCTAAGGCAACAGGATGATCTTGACAATTTCAATTATTGAGAAGAGCAGCAGAACCTGAGCCCAGCTCAAATAAATGAGCTGGATCCAATCAAATTTCCTCAGTGTCAATCCTTTCTCACGTTTGTAGGATACTGTTTCAAATCATACTGTTCTCTGCTTTGTGTGGTTTCATTGTTGACTATGTTCAGCACCTTGGGATGTTTCACAGTGATAAAGACACTATCTTCTATGCAAATGCAGTGACACCATAGCATGTGGTAAAGTGATACATCAAAACCTCACAATCTCAATTAACAACCTGACAGAAGAGTAATGCAGTAGTGAAGGTGACTGACAACCTGTATCCATTTAGGCCAGTGATACAGAATTTGTAGCTACTTCTTATGTATTGGGACCTTAAGCAAAAAGACAACTACCAAATCAAAAGTAATACTTTCATATAAAAGCAAACACTTTATTGTAGAGAAAGGCTTCTAGCACATCTCCTTGCATCCATCACAAGTAGGTTTAAGTAGGTTGCCTGCCTACTTTCTTGGTTGACTGAATCCACATGGTGGCAGGGAAAATAAACAGAAAGAGGTCACTTATACCAATACAGAATATATTTTATATCTTGGAAACTCAAACGGTAGGTGGGTGCACATTCACAATGTCCACATTAAACTCAACCTTAGAAACACCATAATCATGGCAAAAGTCCACGTATCATCCCATATTAAAAAAAGAGAGGCCGGTGAGAATCATTTCAAATAGTTCATTATCTTTAAGCATGTTACTAGGGCAGGGTTAGCTGGGAGCAAATGAACATTAAAAATAAGAAATCTGCATTAAATTCACTGTCAGTTTGGGCACACCAATAATTAGCTAATGTAAAAACAAAGAACACTTACTCCAGCTGGTAAACTCCCACTTCATTTCCACGTAAAAATCAGAAGTCTGTTAAGAAAGATGTTAAAATGGATGGGGATTAGACAGATAAAGTCTTAAGGATTGCCAAGGGTTTTAAAATAGAAAACAAAAGTTGCATCCTCAGCTAATAGTGAATTCAACGTCTAATAGGCCTAAACCAGTTAATACAGTTACACTTTACTGTCGTGTACATGAAAATGAATCTTTTATTTAAGTAGTAACTGCTGAGAGGTCATCAAGGAAACCAAGGAAGAGGCATGACTAAGATACTAGAGTGCCAAAGTTAATCTAGCAACACTGACCCTTTACCCTATCCTCAGTTATTATTAAGTAGCATAGATTAAGATTTTTTTGGAGAGGGATATTATTGCTTAGAAATTAACTACCTTGTCAGCAAGTGTTGCTAGGTTAAATACAGCATTGGTTACATGTAAAGAAGGGCTTCCCAAATTGGGATTGGGACCTAAAGTGGGATCACGAGCCAAAATTTTGGGGTTGTGAGCTCCAAGGCAGCAATGGCTCCCATACAGCTCTGAAAGAATTATAACAGCTGTGTTCCTTCTCTGACAGACAGGCCCCATGGCCAGCATCCACCTCTCTCCATTTTCACTGATGGGGTCATGACGATTTTAAAGCCTCTAACTGGGGTCACATTGGAAAAGAAAGTTTGGGAAGCACTGACATAAGGAGGTTTTATTGTTGTGGTGGTATCATTGGACTTGTAATCCAAAACTCCAGAAGGTGGTTCTGAGGCCACGGGTTTGAATTCCAACATAGCAGATGGTGTAATTTGAACTCAATAAAAATCTGTAATTAAAATATAAAGCTAGCCTACTCACGACCATATAACCACTGTTGACTGTCATAAAAAGTCTATCTGGTTCACTAACACCCTTTAGGAAAGAAAATCCGCCATCCTTATCTGGTCTGGCCTACATGTGACTCCAAACTGATAGCAATGTGGTTAACTCTTAAATGCCCTCTGAACAATTAGGGACAAGCAAAAAAGACTGGCCTAGCTAGTGATGCCACACCCAGGAACAAACAAAAATAAAGGTTTCTCCATAAAAACTCAACAATGCCTGAATTTGGTTACAAGCACCTCACACTAGTGTACAAGATTTTCATTTTCTCAATCCGGCTACATTTACCACGTCCTCTTGATTATTCCAACTAAGTATTCTTTAGTCTCGTCTACTATTAAAATAGATTAAATTAAGCAGATCAGGCCTAACCTCTCCACAATGTGAATGTCAATATCTTACTGTTTTAAAATTGCAGTAATTTTTAATATATTCAGTCAAGGGACAGAGACATTGCTGACGTATTCAGCAATTACTGTGCACCTATGGTTCCATTTCTGCGAGGTGGTGAGCCACAATTTTGGGCAACTGCAGTCCATGTGGTGTGGTTATGTCCACAATGCTGTTCCATTAGGGAGTTCCAGGTTTCTGTTCCAATGACTATGAAAGAATGGTGACATATTTCTAAGTCAAGATGGTGTGGTGCTCCCATGAGTCTGATTCTTTGCTCTCTAGCTGGTAGAAGCTGCAGCTTTGGGAGGTGGTATCAAAGTTTAGTGAGTGATAGCCATCTTTCCAGACCAATCTCTCTAAATAGACTTTGGGTTTTCAGACAGAGGTACAGAAAGGCAAGAGCGGTAATCCCAAGATAGAGTGCTTTGAATTACTATGTGAAATTCAGAGGACTCAATTCTCTGGAACTGGAAATGAGCAAGAGGAGACAAAATGCATATGTTTAAGATTACAAAAAGATACGTTGGAAACTAGTCACAGTTACAATTAGTTTATTGTGCAACTTCTCCTATGAAAAACTGGACTTAAGCCAGATAAATCCGGAAAGTCCCCAGACTATGCAGGGCTAACAGATCTCAGCAGCTGACTCCAAATTACCTTCAGTGTCCTAATACCAGGAAGAGAGAGGGGAGATAATATTTTCCTGGACACTTGTTCCTGACCACAATAAATCAAACCTTGCTTGAAAAGATGTGAATGTCAAGAGAAAGTAAGAATTCAGCTGTATTACAAACAACCTCTGAACAGCCAACTTGATGTGTGAGCCTGGCTATTGAAAAAAAGAATGATTACTTGAGCCAGTTACTGGAGGGCTGTTGTTGCTTGCAATACATACCAAAGCTAGGAATAGTACCTTCAGGCGAGCAGGGAAAAGACAGGGTAGTAAAATCATTGACAAATATAATGGATGACAGAAGTGAACAAACAGTTTCTTAATTTGTGGAATAAATTGGCACTCTGATCACTAATGTGAAATTTGTTGATTTTTGCCAATAGGAGTGCCAGATTTCCATTTTGAGGGAGCAAGAAGAAACAGATTTGAATCACGCTAGAAATGGATGAGCTTAGGAAAATGAAGAAGTACATACTTGGACAAGATGACAAATTCTGGTCAGGTTTAGGTTCCAAATTTAAGTCTAAATTCTAAATACAGTCATAATTCAAACTATATGCCTTAGTCAAACTGTCTTTATCATATCTGAAGATTTATATTTTTGTTGCTAAAACTTGAATGCAAGAACAGTTGTTACCTTTTGTATCTTGTTGAGTAGTTCTGGAACTCCATTCAGCTGCGAGTTTATTCGATTGTAATCTCGATACTGAAGAATTTTTTCCAACAGCTCAGGATCTCCTGTGCTGACTGCCTCTTGTAGAACTGAATAGAATAAAGTGTCAATTAGCAATTGAGAATTTGATTACAAGATTCACTAATGCAAGATCAGATAGACACGGAAACTAGAGGGCTCTTATGGTACTGTCCTTACCACGGGGCCAGGAGACTTGAGTTCATGGCTCACCTGCTCCAGAACTGTGAAATAACACCTCTGAATGAGTTGATTAGAAAACATATAGACAATGTAACTGTTAAAAATTCAATGTGTCAAAATTAACTTACTGTCATTAAAATAGCAAAGCACTACAGCATTCGTTACTAACAAAGTGTGAACCAAGCCACTAAGAAATATTCAGACAGATGACCAAAATCTTTGTGAAAGCTAACGGCACAGCCACCAATGGTAGGGTAATTTAAATCAGGAATGCGAAAAGTATCAGAATTACAGGAATGCAGAATTATCAGAGTTTGCGGGCTAGATAAGCTTCCAGAAACAAGGTGGTGAGGACAGCCTTATGCAATGTGACATATTTTTCCTATGTCCCTCACAGCTGGCCAGCACCAAATTAGTTTATCACAATTGAAGCAGCAGTTGGCATGCTTCAGATTGATCTATTCCCTAATCCATAGGTGCAATCATGATTCCTATTGAATCATTCTGGTCAGACAGGCTTGGACTCATCTCATTTCCATTGAAATGAGAAGACAGGTGGCTGATTCACAATGCCAGTTTTACACCCGAATATCCTTTCCTCAGTTCTCAAAAGGTTTTTTAGATTAGACTTCTTCAACGCACACCTTGCTGTGCTCTCATCCTCCAAATTATGCTAAATTAGCCTAATATATCATGGGCTAAATGAAGTTCTAGTTGCCCTTCTCCTCATCCTCAAACTAAAATGGTTTTGTACAAATCCCTTATGTTCTTACCCTCCTTAGGGGCGGCAACAGCCCAGTGGTATTATCACTGGACTGTTAATCCAGAGACCCGGATAAAATTCTGGGGACCTGGGTTCAAATCCCTCCACAGCAGATGGTGGAATTTGAATTCAATAAGGTATTAGAAATTAAGAGTCTAATGATGACCATGAATCCATTCTCAATTGTCAGAAAAAACCTACTGGTTCACTAATGTCCCTTAGGGAAGGAAACTGCCATCCTTACCTGGTCTGGCCTACATGTGATTCCAGACCCATAGCAATGTGGTTGACTCTGGGCAATTAGGGATGGACAATAAATGCTGCCCAGCCAGCAATGTCCTCAGACAACAAGGTGCAGAGCTGGATGAACACAGCAGGCTTCAAAATCTCCCCTCCCACTACCGCATCCCAAAACCAGTCCAGCTCATCCCCGCCTCCCTAACCTGTTCTTCCTCCCACCTATCCCCTCCTCCCACCTCAAGCCGCACCCCCATCTCCTACCTACTAACCTCATCCCGCCCCCTTGACCTGTCCGTCCTCCCTGGACTGACCTATCCCCTCCCTAACTCCCCACCTACACTCACCTCTACTGGCTCCATCCCCGCCTCTTCGACCTGTCTGTTTCCTCTCCACCTATCCATCTTCTATCCGCCTCCCCCTCTCCCCATATTTATTTTAGAACCCCCTTCCCCTCCCCCATTTCTGATGAAGGGTCTAGGCCCGAAACGTCAGCCTTTCTGCTCCTATGATGCTGCATGGCCTGCTGTGTTCATCCAGCTCTGCACCTTGTTGTCTCGGATTCTCCAGCATCTGCAGTTCCTACTATCAGCGATGTCCTCATCCCATTAATGAATAAAGAAAAAAAATCTCTGCAGCCTTCTCCAGCCCTCTCCCCGCCATTGGGTCTTCCGATGTCAAAATGGAGTAGTCCCCTTCCTTTAAATCCTCTCCAGGAAAACCGTGTGTTACCTCAGCCTTTTCATAAATCTCACTCTTACAATTCTTAAAACTCAGTTTTTTTGCCATGATGGCTCTGTTAATATTCCCATCATATTTATGCATGTGCTGTTTGTTCCCTTCCATCTATTTTATTTTACTCCCTCACCTCCAAATCATCTACCTTGAAGATAACATATAAACTCAAGATGTCATAGTTATACTTCACATTGTCCTACTACCTGGCACTCTATGTAAGTGGGTTGCCAAAAACAACAGGTCTTTTGACAAATCCAAAGAAACAAGTTGGTCATTTGCAAGAAATATCTAAATTCAGACCTAAAATATAAACAAAAATGCTAGAGAAACCCAATGGGTTTGGCAGGCTCTGTGAAGTGTGAACCAGAGTTAATATTTTGAGGTGGAACTGAAGTGGCTGGAAAATAATGGTTGCTGTGCTGTTGACAAAGAGAGAGGTGGAGCCAGTGGAACAGATGGCGCGAGTGCACAGAGTGATAGGCATAGGAGTGTCAGAAGAGAAAGGATATAGATGAAAAACAGGTATTAATAACAGAAAATAAGTCAACTCTGCTAACAACAAATCCACATAAAGAAAACACAATTGTTGAGGAGATCAAAATAGACTACTGTATTACTGGCCTAAAGTTGTTAAACTCAAGATAGACCTGTAAAGTGCCCAAGTGGAAAATGAGGTGCTGGTCCTCAAGCTTGTGGTGGGCTTCATAGGAATAGTACAGTGGGCCTAGGATAGAAATATTATCATGACAGCAAGATGACGTATTGAGGTAGCAAGCAATTGGAAAGTCAGGGTCATTCTAAAGGACACAGCGGAGACGTTCCACAAAGTGATCTCCTAGTCTGTGTTCAGTCTTGCCATAGTAGAGGAGACCGCACTGACAGCAATGAATACAGTAGACTGGATTTAAAGTACAAGCAAATTTCTGCTTCACTTGGAAGGTTAGTTTTGGCCTTTGGACAATGAAAGAGAGAGAAGTAACAAGGCAAATCTACAATTACATGAGAAGGTGCCATGAGAATTAAAACGAGTGACAGAAGATGTGGATCAGAGTGCCATGGAGAAACAGTTCCAGTGAAACGCTTACAAGGGAGGGGAGAGAAAGATGTGTTTGATGGTGGTATCCCTGCTGGAGATGGCAGAAAGGTGAAGGATGATCCTTCGAATGCAGAGTCTGGGGTTGGGGGATGGGGTGGAAAGTGAGGACAAGAGAGTTCTATCATTGTTATGGGGGATGAAAAGGGGTGAGGGCAGAAGTATGGAATATGGGTCAGACATAGTGAATGCCCTGGCAACCACAGTGTACAGGGGAGAGAGATGAGATGAGATTAGACAGAAATGAGGAGAATGAAATAGAATCTTTGTAGAAAGCAGACTGTGAGGAAGTGTAGTCAAAATAACTGAGAGTTGGTGGATTTGTTGTGGAGATTGGGAGCTGTGTATCCCAGAAATAGAAACTGACGTCAAGGAAAGGAAGGGAAGAGTCGGATGGACCAGGTGAAGGTGAGTGAAGGATGGAAATAGGAAGCATAATTGGTATATTTTTTCCAATTCCAGATAACAGAAGGAAGCAATACCAATTAGATCATTAATTTGCTAGAGAAAAAGTTGTGGAAAGGGACCCCGACTAGGACTGAAACAAGGAATGTTCCACATATCACAGAAAGAGACACGTATATCTGGGACCCATGTGGGTATCCATAGCCACAGCTTTTACTTTGAAAAGGTGAACAATTTCTTCTTTAACTCTTCACGAAGTGACAAGCTCAGCCAGATGAAGGAGGGTGGTTCGAAGAAAGGATTGTTCAGGCCTCCTTTCAAAGAAGAAATGGAGAATCTTCAACCATCCTGATGATTATGATCAGAGGGATTATATGTCCATGATAGAGAGAAGGATCTGTAGTAAGAATCCCCTGACCTTCCAGTTACTTGCCATTTCAATATACCATTTTGCCATCATGCTAACATTTCTGTCCTAAGCCTGTTGCAGTATTCCAGTGAAGCCCAGCACAAGCTGGAGGAACAACACCTCATTTCCTGCTTAGGCATTCTATGAGCCTTCAGAATTCAACACTGAGTTCAACAACTTGACATTATGAACACAGTCCTATATGATGATTACACCACCATCCCTCTCCAATGTCTTGTTTGTGTGGATTTGCTTTTAGCAGAGCTGATCTATTTTCTGCTAATAACAACTACTATTAACGCTTACTCCTCCTTGGTCTTTGCTCTACTACCACTAGCACTTCCTTTGTCTTTTGCAGTGGACACCCTCACTATCAGTTTCACTTGCTCATACTCCCCATGTAAACAGCATAAAAATCAACACATTCTAGTTGCCTTCAGTTCGGAAGAAACATAACATTACCGCTTCTCTCTCCACAGATGCTGTCAGACCTGCTGTGATTCTCCAGCAATTTATCTTTTTATTTCAGATCTGTAATACTTTGCTTTTAAAGACAGGTCTGCTAAGCCAAGTTGATCAGATTAATTTTGTTCCAGATTTGCAGCAATGTGACATTTTGCTTTCGCTCTAGAGTTAAACTGTGTTTTACTGAAGAAAACGTTCCTCTTCCTGGGATATGTTGTTTATTGCTGTACTGCCACTTGACCACAGACTAATAGGATGTGGTGTAACATGTTCTGTGCCTCACACAAGCTTCAGCTCTTCCTTTCAGTCAGCGGCTAAGCACTTCCTCTCAGTCTGGGAGAAAACAAAAAGGGAGAGAAATGCAGGGCACCCCCAAAAAGCAGCAAGGGTTGAATTAAGTAATAAAAATTCCCTGACTAATTCTAGATCTTAGTCTTGCTTCTCTTTTTGGGGAAAATAGGTGCTATCCTCCTCAGAGGCTCTTCTCACCTACCCAACATTTATTTGTTCTGTGCTTTATACAGAATTGTTACTAAGCACTCCTGACCTGTCCATCCTTTGGCATTCTCCTTGTCGACAGAGGCATTGTTTCGAAGCAGTACGTTGACACATTCCAAGTGTCCTAGTGAGACAGCGAGATGCAATGGCGTCCGACCCCGTGGATCAACTGCTTCAATATCATGCTGCAAGGCCAAACTGATAATTATCTGATATCATAAAGTACTAAAAACTGATTTTCAAAATAGCTCAATGTGCATTACAATGTGGTGATGATTTATGGATCAGGAAAGTTTGAGGTATGATGCCTAGTCTCTGTTGAGTTAACAGGCAATAGTACCTGAAGTATAGGAGGAATGAACAAAACTTATTGTCCCCAAGCTAGAAGAGTTAAACAAGTAATAATTAGAGTACTGATGCCTGGTCAGTTTCCTGTTCAAACAAAAAGAAATGCATGCTAACATTGATCAAATCCTCAACCAATTTGAGTTACAAGTTTCTTTGCTCTCTACTAAATGTGTTCACACTCCTGCTTAGGCGCACTTGTGATTTGGGACCTTTTGACAATGATATTGAAGGAACAAAGTAGTAAACAAAGAGGAGGAACATTAAAATGTTGGCTGTGTTCAAAGTAGAAAAAATGTTACCAGATGGTAGACGTGGGCAGCACAGTGGTTAGCACTACTGTCTCAATGCCAAGGACCCGGGTTTGATTCCAGCCTCGGGTGACTGTGTGGAGTTTGCATGTTCTCCCCTTGTCTGCACGGGATTCCTCCAGGTGCTTTACTTTCTTCCCACAGTCCAAAGATGTGCAGGTTAAGTGGATTGGCCATGCTAAACTGCCCATAGTGTCCAGGGATGTACAAGCTAAGTGGATTAACCATGGGAGTTGCAGGGTTACAGGATAGGGTAGGGGGTTGGGGTCTGGTGGGATGCTCTTCAGAGAGTCAGTGTGGACTTGATTGGCCAAATGGCCTGCTCCCACACTGTAGGGATTCTATAACATCGCAAGCTTCTTAAGGAAGAAGATATCAGTGGCTGTAGCCCCATTCCTAAATGGGAATGGATGACTGCAAATTTTACAGCTGTGCTGAAAAGAAGTTGGGACAAACTCGCTAAAAGTTTCCCATTATTACAGATAGTTGCCACTTGGAGAAGCATGGTGGAAAATGAAAATTGGAATCGATTTATTCAAGTCAAATTTAGTGGGTTACTTAATGCCATAATAGAGAAGGCAGGTGAGGATAGTGATGTTGGAGTTGCCCATGGGTGAAGAGAACTGTTAGTTGAGGTAGCAGTTTCCACAGTCAGAAAAACATCATGTTTGCACATTCTCCCCATGTCTGCGTGGGTTTCCGTTGGGTGCTCCGGTTTCCTCCCACAGTCCAAAGATGTGCAAGTTAGATGGATTGGCTGTGCTAAATATCCCATAGTGTCCAGGGACGTGTAAGTTAGGTGGATTAGCCATGGGAAACGCAGAGTTACAGGGATAGGGGGTGAGTCTGGGTGAGATGATCTTTGGAGAGTCGGTATGGACTTGTTGGGCCAAATGGCCTGTTTCCACACTGTAGGGATTCTATGATTCTATAACCTGTACTCATGCCAACAAGATAATGAAGTGACTCATAGAAATCTTAATGGGAAAGAGAAAACTTGTTATTTAGTGTAGTGTAGAAGGGAATGTGTGATCCCACCATAATCAAAGGCTTTTTAAGTAATTGCCTTTACATATAATAAAAATGGCTGTAGATAGTAGAGCGAAGACCCCATGGCATCAGCAGGGGGCCTGAAGGACAAATAGTATAAACACCAAGGACTGAATGACATATAATGAAGGGTATAAACAGATAACCTCTGAAAAGGATAATGGAAACTGAAAGGAATGAGATAGCATTGCAAGGGGGAATTTGCACATTACTTCTTCATCATATTCTCGGGAAAATAAACAATCGCAACTTCATAAGATAACAAACAGCACTCAGTCAGTATGATGCAGCTGGCAAATGTCTAGGGAGGGGCATAACAGTCAGAGGGGAGGTGGCAAGCGCTGATGTCAACGTTGCATGCAATCATTCTAATGTGGAATGTACAAATATCCTGTATTTTATTGGAGGGGTGTATTTTGGAGTCTGTCTCCAGTGACCTCTTCCAGGCTATGTGGTAGGAAACTCTGAATAAAGATTGATTTGTCCTGCCGAACACGGGACTCAAGACTCCTCTTTAACAATTGTTGCAGCAAGTTGGGTACTGCATGGGCCTACAACTATGTGGGTCTCAATTAAGTGAATATGTTTGACATACCACCCTTAACAAACCTCGTAGTTGGTCCCAGCTATAAACTGCAGTATTTAAAGAACTAAGGGAGAGAAGGGAGTTGTGCCGTGTGAGGCGGATGTTCAATAGACTAGTTCACCCCGGGGATGGTGAAGAGCCCCACAGTTGAACAGGAAGAGGACAGTGACCCTAGTTCATCCTGGGGACAGTGAAACAGTCCCACAGTTGAACAGGCAAAGTAAAATCCACACTGGGGATGAGAGAGTCCCACATTAGGACACTAGGCAGAAAGTGCAAAAAGGATTACAAGGTAGGACATAGGAGTGCACACAGCGAACTAAGGAGGGCAAGAAGGGAAGAAACCTTGCATCACTTTAAAGCTGGTTAATGAGTCAGGAGCAGGGTCTGAGCAAAATATTCAAGAAGGAGAAAGGAGATCAGGCTACTGCCCCCACCACTTTAGCAAGACCAAAACATTTTGTGTCAGCAGCCTGTTTCCTTTAATATCAGTCGTTGCCACAGTTGTATATTTTCTTTAGTTAAGTAGATAATGTATCACAATAGCAATGGCTTAATTGGCTTTAAGTTTGGGAAGCTGTGAGAAGCAACAGTTTTTAAATCTAGGTTATCATGCCACTGGCATGTTTGAAATTTAATATATCTGGCAAATGAATCAAAAGGAGAGATAAAGTTTTTTTTTAGTGCAACAAGTTGTAATAATCCATGGCACACTGCTTGAAAGGATGGTGAAAGAGATTCAAAAGTAACTTTCCAAAAAGAATTGAAGAAGGGAAAAATAACATTGCAGGAATGCTGATGACATCCAGGGTACTAGAACATTGAAAGCTCTTTCAGGAAGCTGGCATGGGCGTGATGGTCAAACAGCCTCCCCCTATGCAGTATAATTCTCAACTGAAGGTATAAGTAGTCAGTGCCTTCTGATAGAGCTGGGGAAAATGGTGAAACCAAAAAGTATATTCTCCTTCAGTGTCTTCACTGCAAATGTGGACTGATTCCTCAACCCTCCAGTTATTGAAAGGGCCAAGAAAAGTTAGAATGGAGAAAATTGGTGGGAAACAAAATAATCATGCAAATGCAGATTTGACCCCTGACGTGTTGACCCCCCCCCATAAAGGAACTACACATTACTTAGCTTTTACTCTGCCTAAATTAGGAGAAAATGTATCATTTATGTATTTGTATATTGTCATAAAATAATCTCTTTAAAAAGATAATATACAGAAGTACCAATTGCATACATTTAAAAAGATATATTTGCAAACTCTGCCATCTGTTTCAGTAACAAACAGGTGTCACATTATAATATAGTAGAACTAATTATAAATGTCAGTCCTCATGGTGAAGGGAACTTACGACTTTTGTGACTGTTCTTTCTTCCCAATTCACTCTGACCATTGCAAAGTATATATAAAACATCAAAATTATAAAGATTTATTTAGTGACAAGATAATGAAATGTAAAATGAGTAAAGGTAATTCAAACTATCAAGCTTGCTCCTCTCTTAAACAGTGCATCATCTTTCTTGTTGTGAAAAACACAATATTTTATTTTAAATCAAGACAAGGATAAGTGTTGGTCTCACATATCAACTATTCGTCTCCAATCTCGAAATCAGACATTGAAAAATTCCAAACCAACTTAAACAATTTAACTTGAGGAAATAGTAGTTCTTCCAATTTTGCCTCGAGTTATTTTTTACACTTATGGTAGCCTCAGAAGATTCCAACCAAATAATCTTTAAAATTAACTGTTCGAATACCTTGGAACATTTACAACACGCCCTATTTCAACCACTTAACTAAACTGAAGGGGGAAACCCGTTGCCTTGGAAATAGTGAAGATTTTGGATTCTTTCGGCTGAAGAAAATTAGATCTTCAAAGCAGTGACGGACTTCAAATAACTTCACCTATAAACACCATCTCAGGGAAGCTCTCCACCACCTACTGTGAAGTTTAAATCATTTCTAAGCGCAATCATACACTGAATAAAACCTTGCCCAGTATCAGTGACTTACTTGTTTCAGTTCTTCCTCAACTTCTCTATACTGGTTGTGCCAGACCAACAGGTGAAGTTTGTATTTGTTCCTGATGTCTTCCAATGAACACATCCTAGTTCTTCAGCTTCAATCGACCTCCGCCCTTTCCTCTATAAACCCCTCCCTCTAAAGTGAAAAGAGGACAGTGGGAGGGTGAGGTGAGAAAACAGAACAAAACTTCTGAAACTTTCCAAAAAAACTTTACAGGAAGAGATGGACAACAAGGAAATACAATCCATCCAGCCTAGAGGAGGGGACAATAATAAACACACTAGCACCCTTTTCAATAAATATCGGCATATTTGCTGATCTGTACGCTTATGAGAGTGATAATACCTAATTATTGCTTGTCGAACGACCTGATGCTTTGCTTCGCTTTTTTCCACTATCAACCATTTTCGCCACTAGCAGTATCCCCCCTCCTTCTCCCTTTAATTGTGGTTCAGCCCAAACTAAAGTCTGGCGTGGACCGGCAGGTAAACACTAGCTAATTACTTTCTAGGCTCACGAATAAAGTGACAGGTCTACATGTTCCATTCAACATGATGTCACATTTAACAACATTAAAAATATTTTGCAAGGGGGAAAGTAATGTGTGAAAAGTTTCTGTTCAGATAACTACATTTTTATAACTTCAGCTTCCCCCTCGCGCTCGTCGTCTTCCGACGCCTGCGTTTGGTTTGGCTTGTATACGCATGCGTGGCGCCCGGGTAGTCCTCCAAGATCCCGGCATACCATTCGACGTCGCCAAGCTGCTTGAGCCGGAGGCGAGTCTGATAGGAACTGTAGCCTGAGTGCAAACTTCATGCTGATGGCAGTTTGTAGTTAGAATTAAAACGCGCCTCTCGTTAAATTTTAGCGCGTCTAGTGTGATTTTATTTTTTTTTAAGATCCCGATTAAACGGCATTATTAGTTAACTGCCTCTGTCCATGTCGAAAAGATTGAGGAGTAACGACATCTGCGCCGACTGCAGCGTCCCCGGTAAGTGATTGTGGGGGAGGTAAAGGTCTGGGGGCAAAGGATGCTTTGTTTAAAAAATGCTTTTTGTTTAAAAATACTGAGACTTATTGTGCTGCCAACTGGGACTGGGAGAGGAAATTCAAGCAAGCTTCAGTTCTCTCTGACACACGCGCACACACGGAGGAAGTGAGAGAGAGCTAAAAGATGCAGAAACGCTGCAAGCCAACTAGGACGCAGCCAGGAAATATCCAGCAACTGGTTTGCGTTCTTTCATTCCACCCTCTCAACCGTGCCCTTCCTTTCTCTTTGGGATCGTGTTATAAAAAGCAGTACATCTTCAGCATAAAAATCATTCGTAGTACCCACTTCCTCAAACTTGTGGCCTCTATCCAGTCTGCACAATTCGAGTTTTAGTTTGTTAACTTTTTTTTATATTAAAGCTGGGGTTCTAATCTTTCATAGAGTGATTAGTATGCCGTATTACTGTTTGCTTGTCAGAGTTAATACTATTTGCTGTATGCATCCACTTGTAGATTTTGTGCATATCTCTTTTGTTATTGACTTGCTCATTTGTACTTATTTTTCTATAAACTTGACAATTTTTTTTCTTCTGTAGTTGGTATTATCTTTTTGGTAGGTGAGGAATTCCTCCAAATGCATCAGCATTTACAGTGATCCCTTCTACAATGGCTGTTTCAATGTTTCTTTGTACATGGAGTAATTTTTTGAGTTAGAAATGCAACAAGTTATTTCATAGTGATGTAATTGTCATCATAAATAGTGTACAGCATTCTTTCCTCAACAATTGCTATGTCATTTTGTACTGGTAGTATGTTAACTAGTGATAGCTTTGTCAAGACTTTACAATCACAGAACTTAATATTGTAAATTGCAGAGAGCAGCTAATATTTTGCAATTGCTTATCAGTCTATAATGATGCATAGCATTGAGTAATAAGGTAGTTGTATAAATTTGAAGTTGTATGGAAGAAATTGGTACACTGAAGTTTTAGAAGTAATTTTCTTTGCTCCCTGCTGCAAACTATTCCCTAGTTTACAGACTCCATATCTCCTTGAAAACTGCTTGAGCCTCTGTGTCATATTTGACTCCAAGATGAGCTTTAAATACTTTGCCACCCCCTTGCTAAGAACGTGTTTGCACTTCCAGAACATTGCTAGGTTTGTTCCTGCTTTTATTTCAATGCTGCTGAGACCCTTGTATGCCCTTGTTAACTGAAGACTGAGACAACAAGGTGCAGGGCTGGATGAACACAGCAGGCCAAGCAGCATCATAGGAGCAGAGGGTCTGTTCAAATGCATTCCTGCCTCCTATATTCTACCCTCCCTAAACTCAAGTTTATCTAAAACTCTGCTGCCCAGGTTCTTACTCCTGTTTAGGTCCTGTTTAACAATCACATCTATGTTTACTGACCTACAATGTTTCCCAGTCAAGGTACATTTCACTTTTAAATTTTTTATCCTTGTCTTTGCCCCTCTATATTTGTCTAATGCCCTTCTGATACACAGCCCTCCATGAAGACTACATTCATTTTATTTTCTCCTCGAGCATCTTCAATTGTTATTGCTGCACCATTAATAACTGTGCTTTCCTCTACTAAGGCACTTAAGCTTTCAAATTCCTTCCCAAATCTTGCTTCTATTTCTTTCTCCTTGGAGATGCTGTGCAAAGTCTACCTCTTTGACCAAGCTATTCACTAGCTGCCCTAATACCATGTGTGGGTTGGTATCAAATTTTGCTGTGAAGCACCATGAGACCTTTTATTACATTAATGCAATATGTAAGTGCAGATTGTTGTTCTATGATATGGCCATGCCAGATCTCCAGTTAAAGTATGCTCTGAGTGTTGGAAATGTGAAATGGCAGAAGCTGAAAATGCATGCCAGCCTAGCCAACAGCTGAAGGAGAAAGATGAATTGATGAAGATCTGATCAATAACAATGTGTGTTATATTTTATATGGATATTATTTTTAAATGTACTTCCATTTTTCTTATGTTCATGTGAATTACATTTGAATTTTTAATCTTGTCACTTTTTTGTAGTGCCATCTGGCTGCTTACTGTGCATTGTAACTAATTCAGTAGGTTGTCTTCATTGTTGTTGCCTTCTGACATGAAAATTTGTTATTTTAAGTCTTGCTGCTGGTACATGTGGGTTAGCTAGAGAAAAACAGATACATTGCTCTTGGAGAACCTAAAATATTTGCAGCAGAAGTTTTGCGGAACTGCTAATAGGGAAGGGTAACATTAGAGTACAGTGTCCTTCCCAGATTTGGATGAGGGAACAAAATGTAACATCTCCAAGTTTGCAGATGATATCAAGTTGGGTGGGAGGGTGAACTGTGACGACGATGCAGAGATCCTTCAGCGTGGTCTCGACAGGTTGGGTGAGTGGGCAAATCAGTGGCAATACAATATAATTTGGATAAATGTGAGGTTATTCACTTTGGAAAAACAAAAACAAGAAGGCAGATTCTTATCTGAATGGCTGTAAGTTGGAAGGGGGTGTGTGCAGCGGGACCTGGGTGTCTTTGTGCACCAGTTGCTGAAGATAAGCATACAGTTGCAGCAGTCAGTAAAGAAGGCAAATGGTATGTTTACACTAAAGTCGGTGGAGTTGTGGATAGTGCGGAAGGATGTTGCAGGTTACAGAGGGACATAGATAAGCTGCAGAGCTGGGCTGAGAGGTGGCAAATGGAGTTTAATGCAGAAAAGTGTGAGGTGATTCACTTTGGAAGGAGTAACAGGAATACAGACTACTGGGCTAATGGTAAGATTCTTGGTAGTGTGGATGAGCAGACAGATCTTGGTGTCCATGTGCATCGATCCCTGAAAGTTGCCACCCAGGTTGATAGGGTTGTTAAGAAGGCGTACGGTGTGTTAGGTTTTATTGGTGGAGGGATTGAGTTTCAGAGCCATGAGGTCATGTTGCAGCTGTACAAAACTCTGGTGTAGCCGCACTTGGAGTATTGCGTACAGTTCTGGTCGCCGCATTATAGGAAGGACGTGGAAGCATTGGAAAGGGTGCAGAGGAGATTTACCAGGATGTTGCCTGGTATGGAGGGAAGGTCTTATGAGGAAAGGCTGAGGGACTTGAGGCTGTTTTCGTTAGAGAAGAAGGTTAAGAGGTGACTTAATAGAGACATACAAGATGATCAGAGGATTAGATAGAGTGGACAACGAGAGCCTTTTTCCTCGGATGGTGATGGCTAGCACGAGGGGACATAGCTTTAAATTGAGGGGTGATAGATATAGGACAGATGTCAGAGGGGTGATAGATATAGGACAGATGTCAGAGGTAGGTTCTTTACTCAGAGAGTAGTAAGGGTGTGGAATGCCTTGCCTGCAAAAGTAGTAGACTCGCCAACTTTAAGGGCATTTAAATGGTCATTGGATAAACATATGGATGATAATGGAATAGTGTAGGTTAGATGGGCTTCAGATTGGTTTCGGAGGTCGGCGCAACATCGAGGGCCGAAGGGCTTGTACTGCACTGTAATGTTCTATGTTCTATGTTAGCCTTCATTGCAAGATGTTTCGAGTACAGAAGCAGGGATGTGTTGCAGTTGTGCAAGGCCTTGGTGAGACCGCGCCTAGAATATTGTGTGTAGTTTTGCTCTCGAGGGAGTGCAGCGAAGGTTTACCAGGCTGATTCCGGGGATGGCGGGTCTGATGTATGAGGAGAGACTAACTAGGTTGGGATTGTTTTCGCCAGAGTTCAGACAAATGGTGGGGGGGAATCCCCTAGAGACTTATAAAATTCTAACAGGACTGGACAGTGTAGGTACAGGGAGGATGTTCCCGATTGTGGTTGTGTCCAGAACCTGGGTCACAGTATGAGGATTCAGGACAGACTATTTAGGACAGAGATGAAGAGACATTTCTTCACCCAAGAGTGGTGAGCTAGTGGAATTCATTACCATAGAAAGTAGTTGATGCCAAAACACTGAATGTATTCAAGAGGCAACTAGATATAGCACTTGGGGCAAATGGGATCAAAGGTTATGGGGAGAAAGCAGGATTTGGCTATTGAGTTGATGAATAGCGGAGCAGATGCGAAGGGCCAAATGACCTCCTCCAGCTCCTATCTTCTATGTTTCTATGTAGATAATGACTGGCTTTATCTATCTTCTCAGGATTAATTACCAGAAAACATTGTATAGTTTGAGAGGACAAACTTAATGTGTCAATTTTTTTTATTTTCTTTTGCAGCGTGTGGAACTATCTGCTCGATTGTGTTTTGTTGAAGACAATCAGAGTTAGGTTTTTCGTCAACGTTGCTGAGAGTCTTGAAGGCATATGCAAACTGTACACCAGCCTTGTACCGTAAACAATGAGCAATACTTAGCTGGCTGGTACATTGACTAGTTTACATGACTTGTGCTTTAACAGCATACGCAGATCCTGAAGGGTGCGGTATGGAAAGGATATTCCCTCTTGTGGGAGATTCTAGAACAAGAGGTCACTGCTTTAAAAATAATAGGTCATCTATTTAACACAGATCAAACAAAATCTTTTCTGAGGGTTGAGCGCTTTTATAGTTCTGCTTCATCCATCGTTTGAGGAAAGATGTGGAAGCGTTGGAAAAGGTGCAGAGGAGATTTACCAGGATGTTGCCTGGAATGGAGGGAAGGTCTTACGAGGAAAGGTTGAGAGAGCTAGGGCTTTTCTCTTTAGAACGACGAAGGATGAGAGGTGACTTGATAGAGGTGTACAAAATGATCAGAGGTATAGATAGAGTGGACAGCCAGAGACATTTTCCTAGGGTGGAGGTAGCTATTATGAGGGGGCATAGTTTTAAAGTGAGTGGAGGTAGATATAGGGGAGACGTCAGAGGTAGATTCTTTACTCAGAGAGTGGTCGGGGCGTGGAATGCATTGCCGGAGAGGGTAGTGGAGTCGGCCTCATTAGGGGCATTTAAGCAGCTATTAGATAGGCATATGGATGATAGTATGAGGTAGGGGTGAAGGTTAGATAGACTTTCGGATTAGGGTAAATGTCC